CTCCTATGCTGGCCAAGTAACTTTCTGATTGTAACCAGTATTTGCAGGCAGAGTTTTTTAGTGATGACTAGGTTACTTGAAAATTTGTGAGTTTTTTTTCCTTTATCAAATTAATATTTTATGTATCAGTTTCCTGTATGGACAGCATAGGTCATTTCCTTGAGAAATGTTCATCTATAAACTTATTTTTAGGACCTGCCAACTAATAACATCTGGAGAAGCCATCTGTAGCTCATTTGTCTGTAACTTCAACAATAACCATAGAGAAAAATAGATTGATTATTAAAAGGTTAGTGAAAAATCAATAAATTTAATTCTATGAACATACATACATAATGAACTAAAATGCACAAAAACATCCAGAGTAGCGAGTTAGTTGGAGATTATTTGCCTAGAGACAAATCTGTTTACCTGGCTTCTGCTAAGTGGAGGAGGGTACTAGCTGAAAGGGCGTTGGAGTATCTCAGAAGCCAAGGTCTGGAAGTGCGCCAGATGGCTGTGAAAGACTCAGAAACAGGGAAGGGAGAGTTGAGAAGTGAAGGCATTTGGTCTGCTTCTCTTGAAAGTTCTTGGCTTTTCATCGTCTCTTCTTTTTTTGCTCCCTCCATAGCCAGCCTTTTCTTGACCTTGCACTAACCTAACAGAAAGTAAGTCTGGAAGCTTAAAGTCCAGGATGGGGAATTCTGATTAGTGAACTAAGATGAGTGTTCCATGCTAGTCCATTCCATTAGCCCAAAGGTGTCCTGTGGTCAGTGCTACCAAGGATCTGCTGTAGAAGGACTCTTAAAGGAGGGCACACCTCAGGACCATGTGATGGGGCAGTTTACAGAAAAGCAGGAGACAGTCTAGACATTCACACCGAAATTTACACACGCGCACACACACACACACACGCACACACACACTTCCAATTGGAGTAAGATAATGAAAAATCAAAAAATAGATTGTTAGAGCATATGGTATGATTTTTAACATGAATAAAAAACATATACAATACTTCTTTGTTCTCCTTAGCTTGAGTGATCTCCATATCAAAAGTTTTATAACCCAGTGTCTTAAGAATGCATTGGATCTGTTGAGGCCCTAAAAGCCTCATAGAACACCTTGGACTGCCAGATGAGTTAGAGCGAAAATGCTGCTAGTTACCCAAATATATTAGAGAAAGAAGAGAGACATGGGAAATAGGAGATAGAAAATTATCATCTTATTTTCCAGAGGCAAGAAAGTTAGTTTTTGGAAACTTGACATTGATGCCTGGTAAGATCCTAAGGGAGATCACTGAGGCTTGCTGAAAAAGTAGCCATCCCTAGTGCCAGCATGAGTCTGTGAAAAGAAGTTAAGTCGAACTCATTCCTGTATCTGAAGGAAGACACTGCTTACCCGAGTGTACCAGGAGACTGAGTGATACCTAATGCATCTTGACCTTGCTGAATATTTTAGTAGTCTTCAGATCCTCATGGACAAGATAAAGAAATGTAGTTTGAATAAGGGTGCAGCTAACTGAAATAGATGGAGTGATATCAACCTTTCAGGGAAACACATAGCTCTAAAGCACAATAATTGTTCTCGTCGTCATATAAACAGTAGGTAAAGAGACAGAGTTGTGTCAATCCAGTTTTCAACATAGAAAAATGAGGGGGATGATTGTATTCAACAAGCAACAGACTCTTCAAAGACATCAGTCTGCTGCATCAAGCTAAAGCAACAATATAAAGTGCAGTACATATAAAAATGATATTTTACATTGAGTTCAATTGTAAAAATACAGAATGGGAAACACTGGGCTTTAACAGTATTTGGGGAAAATAGGTCTATGGATTTATGAGCCTAGAATATGGTATGATGCAGAAAATACTCAGCACTAATGTGTTTTAGATTATGTTGACAAAGGAATTGTATCCAAAATCAGGCTGTAACTCAGCCTAAGCCATATCTGAGTTATTGTAGCAGTGTTTTCTGGGAAATATATTGATAAAATGGGGTATATCCAGAGAGTGGTGGGGAAGAAGTTTAGTTTAATTTCTTTTGATCCATTGATTATTTTGCTATGCATAATATACTGTAAGGAATGACATCTGCCATAGTATGTCGTACGTTGGGTGTCAACTACGTAGTATGAAGGCACTAACTTTTTATCATTTCAGCCTTGGTACAAACAATATTTGAGTAAAATCTACTTACCCCAGTCTATTAAATTTAAATAATTAGATGTAATAATTCTTTTATTGAAAATTTATATTAATTTCTGAATGCTAAGTTAAATTTTATATGTATATTACTAATTTATTCAACCATTGGGTGTCAGCACTCTTTCATGCAAAATGTAAACATTTTCTATTTCCTTTTATCATATAGAAGAGCCAAAGGGGTTTTAAAGAGACAGGAAAAGTTCTCTACTTATTTAAAAATAAAATTAGATAATTTTAAAATTACTGTTTCTTATTTGTTTCCTATGCCTAAAGAAGATTCCCTCTTAGATTTAGGATGCTTGCAGATATAGGAGAAGAAAGTACAAAATAACTCTTTTGAGATTTTCAAGAATGATCTAGGAGTAAGGTACAGCATTTAAAAGCAGAAACTGTCACACATACAGACATGAATGCAGGTACATACAGGTTATTGTAGATGAATGATACTATTTGTAGAATGCAAGGTCTTGCAGTCCCAAAATGTTAAGTTTTTCATAGTCTGCTGTCTTTCATAGTACTTATTCATAAAGTTAAAATAGAGTAAAACTTTATATCAGACTACAGATGTTAAAAACATAGCTGATACAGAGAAAATGCAAGTAAATTTATTCATAGGCATTTCACTTTGGGTTTTGAAAATCTACTTTTTTAAGTTATAGCAAAGTCAGTATGAAAAATTCTTTCTTCTCTTCTGATACCAAGCACTTGGTACAGATAGGTACCATAAAATATCCTATAAAATTATGCCAAGAATAGTCCTATAGCTTTAATCACTGCAAGTCTAATGTAAATGTGTTTGTGATCAGAGCAGTTCTGCAGTATAGCTGAATCACCAATGTCCTTGATCTTTGTGGCTTTAAATGATCTCTTGGAAAATTAGATGCTGAAAAGCAAAAATTAGTCACAATGTATAACATACCATCCATTTAAATGTGGCATGCCTGCTTCAGTTAGCATTCCTTTCTATTAGAACTTAAGGTAGCACCCTGCCAACTGTGTATGTGTAACAGAACCTCCACTGGATGCCCGATTTTGCATGTACTATGTTTTCCCTAATATATATTATATTCCTATATTAACATAATTTTTTAATTATAAGTCAGGCAAGGTGACAGACTAGTAGCCATGGCTAATAATAAAATTGAATATAATATTCTGTAAGAGTTATAAGAATATGGTCTCTATTAGTAATTTTATACTGTATTCTTGAAACATGTATGACCACAGGTGACTGCAACCTTACAAAGTAAAATCATAGATAAGAGAATGACTACTGTAGTTCAAAAGCTGTACCAGTAAGGTGAGAGACAATGCAAAAGAGGGGTTTTACCTCAATACGATGGCTTCTTTCATTACCAAGTCTTCATATGAAGGCTTTATGTATCCTCAATGTTCCACACTGTTTAAGGTCTTCCCATCCCATCTACGATTCTTGTCTTACCTTTTCCCCAAGTTATCATCTTCTGCCTTAGAAATCTGCAAACCTTAAACCTCCCTCCCTCCACATTTTATGTTTTCATCAATCCTGGTGTCCGTTGTAAATCAACATTTCTGTCCTTCACAACCAGTTTGCTGCTTTACGGTTAGTGTGGTTAGAGTCACAGGAAGAACAATTGCTTGAGCCACCATCTGGTTTACCATTTGTCTTTGGGACTGTTATCCCTACCTATCCACAGTTTTGCTGCCTTGCTGTGTCTATGTAGTTCCTGTCTAGAAGTACAACGTGTCCGGATAAGGTTTGCATTTCTCTGCCACTGTTTGTTTTTTTTTTCTTTCTTTCTTTCTACCACTATATTTTGAACTCATTGTTCTGAAGGAGCATTTGGCTCCTCCTGTTTTTGGATTACAATGGAAAGTACTCTTCAGAATTGTGCTCACCAAGCCTTCCCTGGTTTATACAGTCTTTTTAAGCCACATCTTGTTTAAAGTCTCCTCCAGTTAGAAAAAAAATCTTCTAATGACTTTATTCCTGCTGTATTTGTTTCAGATGATTTTGTGCAGCACTGATAAAGAACCTTTGCAGCTAATCTAATAGTTCTAAGTAATATGAGACCTTCACTTTTCATTCAACAGTATTTTTTTTTTTTTTTGTCTTTTTCCTTTTTATCGGTACCAGGGATTGAACTCACGACTGCCTGCTTGCAAGGCAGGCGTTTATGCCGCTGAGCTAAATCCCCAGCCCTCAACAGTATATTTTTAATGCCATCTATATCCCTCCCATTGGCCTGTTAGTTTTTTTCTGAATATTTTAGCTATACTAGAACAAAACAGCTTTCAAGCATAGTGGTTTCTTTCCAAGTGCCAAAGCTCAGGTTTGAGAAGGAAAATAAGCATAGAAAACAGCAACACTCAAAAAGTTCCATAGATGGAGAATTGCACATGCATTTGATGCTTTATTACATTATTAATATAATAATATCCTGATATAGTGAGGAGAATATATGTGCAAATGACAAAACTGTTAAATTAATGATGTCTTACTCATTGAGTTCTGGAGTCATTGTTAAAAATAAAAGAATAACTTGATGGCTATAGATAATATTTTAGGTACCCTCAGCATAAATTCATAAATTAATTCCTTTTGTAATACATATATATTAGTTATGAAGTAGCTCTGTTCAGGAATAACTATGTCATGGCAGATTCTCGCTTTTATCTTGTATCTCTGCTAAAATATAAAAGGCTGTATTCCATTCACTTTGTTTAATTAAGTCAGTATTTAATCCAGTCAGAAAATACAATCATTGTAAGTTTGCAGTTAGGCATTATTGATTACCCCTAACTAAACATGATGACATTTTCTTTTTGCAGATGCAAGTATTGGCATTATGATGAAAACCTGCTCACTTCAAGTGTTGTCATTGTCTTCCATAATGAAGGATGGTCAACCCTCATGAGAACAGTCCACAGTGTAATCAAAAGAACTCCAAGGAAATATTTAGCAGAAATTGTGTTAATTGATGATTTCAGTAATAAAGGTAATGGCTATGGATTTGACATTTTATTGATAAAATAAGATTAACTATAAGTACTTACAAATATATGATTTTAGAATTATTAGTTTTTAAAAATCAAGAGCTAGTGTGTTTTGACCGCATCTACTATCAGCAAGTTGATACTGTGCTGACAGCTGTATATGAATTATTTTGCTTGATCCTAGTAGTGATAATCTTTAGAATAGATATTGCTGTCTTCTCCATTTTATACAGGAGGTTCAGAGATGTGAAGTAACTTGCCAACAGTGACAGAGGAGGTAATGAACAGCTGAATCAGAATCTGTAGAATCATAAGTCTGTGTCTTTAGTCGTGGTCTTATACTGTACTAATTCTTTGAGACTTGGACTTTGGAAGAATTTGATCGCAGAAGTGATTTATTGAAAGCCTGAAGTTATGTAGCTGTGTATGTATTGCAGGGCTACCTGATGTTCTTTCAGGTTTTTGGATTGAAATCCACACACCTGCTTATAGCCTATATTTTACATTCGAATGTTGATGTAAATATTAGATTTGACCAGAAGCCATGGATTATTCTTATTGTTATATAGAAAGCATCTTTTAAAGGAAACTTTCTTTAAAAAACAAAAGGAAGTTACATTTTATATTCTTTTCAAGGAAGTCGCTAGTATGGTATTTTGGAAGACATTGGTTAGTCTTGGTTCAACTTGGTAAAAGAGTAATGTTCCAGATAGGCGATTTTTAAAGTGAACTTATCCTTAAATACATTAGTATAAGTTGAATAAGTATCCTCAGTGACTTAAATATGAAAAGGTAATGATGTAGCTCAGATTCTAAGTTAACATATGTCTTAATCACCTCCTTGTCCCTGAGACACCATTCCCAGCACCTGTGACTTAGGAGAGAAAGTTTTACTCACATTTTCAGTGCATAGCCAATGGCTCCAGGGCGGACAGCAGGGCAGAGAGGCACAGCAGAGAAAAAGCTGCTTACCTCATAGCAAGCAGGATGCAGAGAGAGAAGGGAGAGGAGCCAGGGAGGGAGGTACAGCCTTCTGGATCCTGCCACAGTGACCCCCACTTCTGACCAGACCCCACTTCATAATAGTAAGTCAGCTATACGGCCTGTCTGTAATCCAGTCACCTTCCAAACACATCAGGTGGTGCGGGCTGTTTTCAGTCTAAATCATAATAGCATGTAAATGAAAGTTGAAATTTCCTACAGCAACTCAATCTGAATTTTTTTTTATTCATCTTTACTTGTCACAAAGCAGAACTGAAATAGAATTGACCAAAGAGCTCAGATTACCCAATAACAACAGGGTGTTTACACTTTGGCAAATAAATTTTGCAGGAACCTTTTCTGTGTAAGAAGAAATACCATGATTATAACATTAGAAGTGGATATGGATAGCATGAGAACACATTTCCAAATGCCTTCGTAAAAGCTTCCTTCCTGGAATTTAACTCTTGGGACCTTTGCAATTTGGATAGACCCTTGCTGTTTTTGCAAGAATAGAATCTTGTTCTGCATACCTACACTGGCCTTAAAAGAAAAAGAAATGTGACTTATTTTCTTTCTTTATCTTTGAGCCAGTCCTTTTTTCCAACTAATCGTTTTTAATTACACAAGAGAATGTAAAGTTTTAAAATTGTCAATGATATTGAATGCCATTAGGTTACAAATTTTATCTTACAATTTTGTATGACAGAAATGTCTGCATCAGAAATATTTCTCCTGTGCCAAGGAAAATATTTGAAAACATGTCCTAAGGTGATATTGCTGGTACCTAACAGTATTTTACATTTAGAAAAATCTAAATCTACAAATCAACTCTGAGAAATCTTTGTATGATTTTTTTAAATACCTTATAAGTAAAATTCTAACATATCCTAAAAAATATACATCAAAAAGTATTTACCAAAATAACTACGTGGCCCCAGAAAAGGAGAACAGAATTTTGTGCATTTCACTTAAAACATTTTGTGATCAGTGCTTCTGTTTGTTCATATCTAATACTCAGTTTCTTATACCACATTTTGAAATAGTCATTCAGGGCTTCTTTAACTTAGAGTGTGCAAAGGCTTTTAGAATCTTATATTAGTTTCTAATTTCAAAACAATTTAAATATCTTTTAGTTCTAAGTTTAATAAAATCATACGGTTTTGGGGTCACCCCAGCTTAGGAGAAAATCTGGTTTGTATTTTCCTAGTATATTCAAAAAGGAAACTTAGAAGCTATAATTTTTCTTTTAAAGACAAAATACTTTACCAATATAAAATCCTCACAAAGAACCTTTGTGCTCATAATCACACTTAAACCTCTGGGAATTATAATATCCTCTCTAAACAAAATTTGGAGCATTCCAGTGGCACAGGCTCCACCACGCCCATCGGCACAGCCAGCTGAGGAAAGTGGGGCACAGGTAAAACATAACCGCAGCCAGGTGTAGAGGCACATGCCTGTAATCCCAGCACTCGGGAGGCTGAGACAGGACGGCTGTGATGAGTTCGAGGCCTACCTGGGCTACATAGTGAGACCATGTCTCAAAAAAATAAAGAACCTACAGTCTTAGTGATTTGCAGCAAAAGAGGGCTTTCTCCCAGGCATGCCATGCTTCTGCAGGTCAGCACTGGCTTTGTGCTGCCTCTTCTTCGCTGCTGGATGTTTGCAGGGTACCTCAGCTGAAACACTGCCAGTACAGGGGCAGAGAGAAAGAAGTGGCCTAGAAAAACACAATCAGCCTCTTACGCCTCTGCTCAGTAGTGACTGGGGGCATTTCTACCTATATGATGTTGAGCATTGCAGCTCACATCCCTAGCCTGACATCAGTGGGTTAGAGGAGGGTAGAATTCCCCCAGCGTGTGGCAATAAAGTTTTTGAGCCCTAATACAGTCTACCACTGTATTGTGAGATTGCAAAGGAGCCAGAAGCCATTAGATTCACCATTTCCCTTTTGGGGCCACCTTATTGAGAATCTAAACTTGAAGAACAGGTCACTAACTCATTTCTGTTCATAAAAATGTACCTAAGACAGAATTAGGCTGCATATCCAGATTACCTGATGGAAATCAGAAGTGCTTAAAAAATTCAGACTATAGCAGGCTTTAAAGGGTGGGGGAGATTTAAAAAGTAATCTTGAAAAAGAAAGTATCCATATTTTCTGGGAATAAAATATAATTAAGCATGAGAATTTTATTTATAATTCTTACTAAAATTGAATACCAAAATATAAGAAAAACTTTTTCTCAATTCTGAATATACATGCATAGAGGTGTCTTTCTAGAAAGTTCCCTAAATGAGTGAAATATCATATAAGGTCTGATATGCCCATTGACCCATGAGCTCATCTCTACTGCAACTTTTTTGTGTGATTTTTATACATATGGGCCAAGTTTTTAAAGTTTTGAAATAATGTTTATGTTATCAAAAAGCATCTTTAAAGGATCCAGGAGATGTGGTGAGCCAGTTTCACAGGCTCTGAGTGATGCAAACAAAAGCCATTCGCTTACCATGGGGAGACAAGTTAGAACTTTTGTCTGTGTGTTTTGTTTTTTGGTTTTTACCAGTACTGAGGATTGAACCCAGGGAGTGCTGAGTTATATCCCTATCCCGTCTTATTATTTTTATTTTGAGACAGGATTTCACAAAGTTGCCTAGACTGGTCTTCCACTTGCAGTTCTCTTGGTATAGCCTCCTGAATAGCTGGGATTCCTGGTGTGGGTAATTACTTAGCTATGTCTGGATTTATAACACAAAATTTCCTTACAAAATTACAAATATAATAATTATATAGATACCAGTAATGCTAAGATACAGAAAAAAATGAGATCTTTTCTTGATTATTTGCCTGCTTGATGGAAACTGTAGACATCACAGCAGGACCACAGCCTTAAACACCTATTGCATTTAGAGAAAGACGGCTCAGAAATAAAATGTTAAACATGTGACGCAGGCAGGTTCCAGGGAAGCTGCATGGTGTTAATAGATACTGTGATTTAGAAATCTTCGACAGTTGCTTCTGAAGGAAAAAAAAATGTGCCTAAAAGCTTTAAATCTGAGATCATATGAACTGAAAGACAATTTAAAAATATATCTTAAAGTCTCACATGTCAGTTGGTGTAAGCCGGTTCTCTGTGGATATATCAAACTTAAAATTTCACTTAAGTAATACATTTCACCTTCCATCTTTCGGTGGGGTGTGGAACTCAAGGTCTCCTAAATACTAAGCCACATCTCCAGCCCTCACCTTCCATCTTAATTAAGTAAAAAGGTCTTTTTTTTTTTTTCTTTGAATCAGGGATCTCACAACCTTGTGCTTGCCAGGCAGGTGCTTGTGCCGCTGAGCTAAATCCCCAGCTATCAGGTCTGTTTTATAATCTTACTTAACCTTTTTATTCATAGAACACTTAAAAGAAAAACTGGATGAATATATTAAGCTGTGGAATGGCCTCGTGAAGGTATTTCGAAACGAGAGAAGAGAAGGTTTAATTCAAGCACGAAGTATTGGTGCTCAAAAGGCTAAACTTGGACAGGTAGGAAGCATTTGCTGTTTACAATGTCAGTATTTTAGATTTAATAACTAAAAGATCGTATACATTTTTAATCACCCTGCAGTTTGTTGTAACTGAAATGAGAATGCTGTCTTGAACATATAATTTATATGTCAGAATTGACTATAATGCTATTTTTATTAGCATCTAATTTAAAAATGTGTGTGTAATATATGATGTACCATATATGAGGAGTATTCTTTCACCCTGCCTCTTTTTTTTAAGGTTTTGATATACCTTGATGCCCACTGTGAAGTGGCAGTTAACTGGTATGCACCACTTGTAGCTCCCATATCTAAAGACAGGTAACATCACCTTGTTTTTTTTTTTTTTCTTTCCTAGTTGAAAAGTAAACCTTGTCCTAGAAGGACACTTAACATTCTTATCCTTTGATTCCAGTTCCAGTTAGTATATCAAGTGTTGTGTTTTAAGTGTTATCCTTGAAGCACTTGTTTCCTTAGGTAGCGCTGGACTGATCATTTGGGCTGATTCAGATGTAGACAGTCCGGCACTTGGAGAAACCATGGCTTCCCTCTCAAGAGTCATCTGCAGGTTCTGTTACTGAGACTTCCTCTGACCTCAAAAACTGCTCCTGCTAGACTAGAGTAAGAGATATAAAGACTCGGGGGAAAGAAAACTTGCTTTGAAATTACTATGCTTATTAGATTTTTAAGTCCATTTTAATAGGATAGTTAAGGAAGGACCAGCTATTAGTTTAGTCAAGGCTTTGGGTTCCTATAGGAAACTTTATGCTTACAAACAGCCAGCTATTCTGCGGAGATGTGGGGAAATGCCAGAAAGTAGCATTTAGTGTACTAGTTCCAAAGCCTGCCTTGTTCTGACTATTTCAGAATCTGGGAGAATGAGGCATATCCTTGTGGCGAAAGGCATGAGTCAGAGGAAGAACTTCGGAGACTTCTTCCCCTCCAAGGAGCTCGCATGAGAGCTCATTGTGAACACTGTTCAGTGCTAGCTCACCTAATCCTCACAGCAGGTCTTGACTTTACAAAGACATATATAGAGGGTTAAAGAAATTAATTAACTTTCCCCAAATCAGATAGTTTAAAAACATGTGAACCTGAGGTCTCTGGACCAGTTTATTTAGAAATGTGAAAAGCAAGAGGAGTAAGAAAAGGTATCAAACCAGACCCAGCTACTCTTCCCAGGGGCATGGGCACAGCCCTCTGGGGAATGAAGGAAGCGTTTTTTCCTGGAGGGTCCAGTACCAGCCCCACATAGTCCACGGCCACCTTCCCAAGTGAGGTCAAGCTTTGGAGAAAGGAATACACTCTCAGAATCTAGTTCTCTCAAATCAGGATTTTAAGCCTTACATTTTTTTTTTTTTTTTTTCTGTTTCCTTTGGCCTCTAGACATCTAAAAAGCATTGCAACTTAGTTATGAAAAGCTGGCACCTCCATTTTGGGAAATGCATTTTAAAAGCCTTTCTGATGAGATGAGGACCAAAATAAGCATAAATCCAGATTATTTTTTGTAATGTCAACTCTATAGCCAATTGGTTTATAGTACTTGCATTTTATAGGAAGCCCAAATGTAAGGGGGATTTACTTTTCTCTTTTGTATTCCAAATTCTCAGATCTCTTCTTTTGTTCTATATACATTTTAAGGGATTTTTTTAAAGTAACAGTACAATATAGAACCTCTTTTTTTCCAATAAAAGAAGTAGGGAAGGAGATTAAGTAAAAGCACAAAAGCACATTTTCATAATAACTGCTTTCAAATACATACAGAAGAGTTAAGATTGCTGAGATGTCGCAAGTACTGGCAGTGCGTGCACAAGCATGCATGGATACATTTTTTCACTGGGAACAGGGAGTAGAAACAATGGGCAGTAAAATCTTGTAAATAATACAAAATCACCAAGAGAAAATTGCCAATAGAGCTGAAATAAAAGGGAAGAAACACTATTAAGTTCCATGGCGTGACTCTTTGTCTCTGACTTTTGTCCGAAAGCCTAGGGGAGTGTGTTCTCTATCCTGCCCTTATCCTAACAGACTGCTTAACTTTTATGGGGCATTCATTTTTCTGTTTCTCCATTAGATATTCAAGTTCCCCAGTGCACAAACAAACCAACTACAGTAAGAGACAATGCAGCTAAGCATGCTAAACTAGTCAGTTTTGGGTTCTTAAATGCTTTTTCATTTTCTGTAAATGTTTCAGAACTACATGTACTGTGCCTCTAATAGATTACATAGATGGGAATGATTATTCCATTGAACCACAGCAAGGTGGGGATGAAGATGGTTTTGCCAGAGGGGCCTGGGACTGGAGTTTACTTTGGAAACGTATTCCTCTAAGCCACAAGGAAAAAGCCAAAAGAAAACATAAAACTGAACCTTATCGGTAAAGATTATTACTTTATTCTTTTAATGTTGAATGTTTATCTAAGTACTTCTTTTTTTCCTTCCCCACAACCTCGTGTAAACATATGGGTCCATACATACGTTTCCATTTGATCTGTGCTACATCATCAACACAACACAGAACCATTTGCACTGTGCCACTTATAGATGTCATAAATGGCAACACTTACGAAATTGTACCCCAAGGGGGTGGTGATGAAGATGGGTATGCCCGAGGAGCATGGGATTGGAGTATGCTCTGGAAACGGGTGCCTCTGACCTCTCAAGAGAAGAAACTGAGAAAGACAAAAACTGAACCGTATCGGTAATCACTAAATCACTTACCTGTTCTTCTTTTCTCCAGTTGCTGTTAATCTATTAATCTTTTGCCATGCTAAAATTTTGTTTGAATTGTAGATGCTATCTCAGACTCTGAGTTTCTTCCCTTACACTTTTTTTTTTAGAGCTACAAATTCATCTTGCTTTTTATAATTGCTTTTACCCTGAATGCAAGCTCCACCATTGAGAATCACGTTCTTTCATTGGGGGAAAACTTTATGTAAAAAACACTATTAATGTAAAAAGTTCTTTACTTTCTGTCCTCATATGACTAGTTAGAAAATTTTATTCTTTTGATGATCATGTCATTCTACAAATTTAAAACACAAAGGTTATTTATAACCCAATACTTTTCATTTCCACTTTGATGCTTTTGGTGTAAGGTTAATTGTGAAAGACACTAGGAAGTGATTTTGGGTTTTCCCTCTTTTGTTTATATGCTAATTCTTTTGGGGAGGCTACCGGGAATCAAACTAAGGACCTCAAGCTTGCCAGGCAGGTGCTGTGCCACTGAGCTAAGTCCCGGGTCCCTATATGCTAATTCTTAAATATGAATTTTTGTACCAGTTAAATCTGATTAATAAAAATACACAACTTTAGAAAATGTAATATACATACGGTTCCTTTTTGCTTCATCTTAGAAGAGTACTTGATCAAAAGAAAGCTATTTTGTAACCCGATTTTGGCCCTTCTTGTGGTTCTTCAAGTAAAATAACTGACTTTACTCTTTTCATCTTTTAATTGGAACCTTTTACTCACTTTCAAAAAAGTAACCCCAAATGAAATGTTTGCTCAAATGTTAGTGTATCCTTCTCCACAATGTGTCTGATTTTATTATTATTACTATTGCTGCTGCTGCTGCTGCTGTTGTTATTGTTATTTTGATCATCTCAGATTCTTCCTTTTATTACACTGCTGATAATATTAGAACTCTGTTTTGGGAAGGTGCTTCAGTGTCATGGAAATGCTGATGCATTTGGGCATATCATGATGTCAAGATACTGAATGGCAAACATAAGGAAATTATAGAACTGTAAGCCTTATTGAGCATTTTAAAAAATTTTCACTAGAAAATTTCTTATTCAAATTAGTCTACCTGTTTACCTGCTTACCCTGACACTTCTGGGAGAAAACAATAAAGGGTGCTGACTACATTTACTTTTACTGCTAATTCCATGGGCTAGTAATGACTTCCTAAGTGAGCTAGGAAAATGAAAGGAAGATTTCTCTATAACTAACTAGTTTCCATCTTAGGATGCATTTTCAATTTTATTGAAATGAGAGAAATGAGAATATTTTTAAAGATAAGAAAGTCACATTTATAATGGGAGATTTTTAAATGACAGTTAAATAAATGTAACATGAAGTATAACCCACAGTGTAATGTTATTAATGAGTTAGGCACCGTATCCTAAAGAAAGGAGTGTGCTGTGCTGTATGCAGTCAGATTTGGGTAAGGGCAGAGTGGAATAAAGGTCGTAAGTTTGTTACATACTACAGAGTCCGGGTAGTGTTAGCTTGGTCTACGGTGAAGTTGCAGGCAGAGTCCAAATATATGTTCAAGATAGAATCAATAAAGTTTAGCGATACATAGGTATGATAAAGAGTAAGATATACTAGTAATATTAAGTTCCCTAAAACATAGAATTATGATGCATTAATAATTAATTTTTCAACTAAGGTGGAGAGGGTTCAGAGCAGGACGAAAATTTTTCCACTGTCATTTCTCCCAAATCGTGGGAGTAACTTGTTCTTAAAAAGCTATCAAAATTTTTTTTCTCTTACCCCTAAAATGTACACAATTTACAGTCTGTTCAAGAAGGGCCACAGATCACCCTGTTGCATTCCTACCTCCCAGCGCAGTAAATAGCGATGCTGAATTTTCCTGTGTCATTCGTAAGCTACATTTGCAAACTCCCGAATGAACTGGGGCTGTTCTGCAGTGATTTACACCCTTATTTGGCCAGCCCTTGAGCTATAAAATTAAAAAATGACAGACTGCTTCCATGGTGTATGGTTTCGTTCATCCCAAAATGACTCATAAATCATTGCAGGAGCAGTTAGTAGACCACGGCTGTGTGGCTGAGTGTTTAGGAGTGAACGAGAAAATTTTTATTTTAACTAAAACGAAAGTTTAATTTTTAAATCAACAAAGGAACCAAGGCGCCCTCTTCTGGTAAAGTGGCACAAAAATTTGTAATGTTTGGTTTCAGAAATTTGATAAATCCATTAAAGATTACAAATAAACTGTATTGTGAAGGATTTATAATTTTCTTAATGTTTGGCCATCAGTTTTATCTTTTCTATGCACATTTAATCTATATTCCAAAAATCTTGTTATTCTGTTAGTAAAGCCATGGGAGGGCTGGTTAAAAGGTTATTGCAATGTTGTTTTTGTTTTTGTTTTCTCCTGTAGGTCCCCAGCTATGGCTGGTGGATTATTTGCTATTGAACGAGAGTTCTTCTTTGAACTGGGTCTCTATGATCCAGGTCTCCAGATTTGGGGTGGTGAAAACTTTGAGATTTCCTACAAGGTAACATTTCATTTTAATTAAACAAATATACCTTTCTGGGTCATTATTGACTTTTGTGACTTTCAGATGAAGATAGCCTCTTTTGAAAACAAAAATCTGTATAGTGTATTTTTCCAAATCCTAAGAAGTGATTTAAAAATGTGTACATTTTGGAAAAGATAAAGCAAAATGCAGGCCAGGGATATAGCTCAGCAGCATAAGCACCTGCCTGGCAAGCAAAGTCCTAAGTTTGGTTCCTGGTACCAAAGGGAAAAAGAAAAGATAAAGCAAAATAGAAACTCTGAACTGAGATATTTTTAGGGCTTAGCTCAAGTCCCATCTCAGCCTCCTCTTTTACCTCCATTTTCCAAAAGACAGTGAACTGTATCGAATGTGAGTTAAACTGGTATTCTTTACTTCTTGTCTTCAGTGTCTAGTGGTGAGGACTGTGCGGGATGGAAGAGGTGGTACTTAGGCCTGGACCTCAAGCAGTTTACAGTTGAAAAGAGGTTTAAACCATAAGTAGTACAACAAGAAGCCAGAAGATAGCATAAGCAGCACAGAACTAGATAGCATGATACCAGCAAACAACAGATAAAGAAAGGGACCTTCTAAGCAAGTAGAGTGGGAACAGGAACAAAGGTGTGACCATAGCCAGTATATTCAGGGAGGAGCAGTTTGATAGAGTCAGGAATGACTAAGGACGACAGAAGAAGATAAACTGGTGTAGTAGGACCATATGAAATAGTCTTCAATACTGAGTTCAAGAAATTTTTACGTAATTTGATAAGCAATGGAAAACTATCAAAGATACTAAATAAGGGCATAACATGAACTAAAGCTGCCCTTCAGCTGCAGTAATCTCTTACTATAAATGAGGCTAGAGTTAAGTAGAGACCAGATGATAAAGCCAATGGGGGCAGGTAATAATAACCACCTAGGTAAGAAATATATTAACACTGGAAATGATGAGCATTTTAAGGAATAAGAATCTGCATTATCTGCACAGTTATATTAAGAAAAGGTTGCTAGGGATCACAGGTAGCAGTTTATTATTACATTCCTATTGCTTTCCTTGTATGAGTTTTTAAATTATTTTATGATTTTACTTTATGAATTCTATATAGACACTTATCTAATTGACATGTAAGATGTACATTTATTAGACAGATTTTCAGATATAATTTATCTTGTGTTTGAAACAGTTTTCACAACATTTGTTTTTCTTCGACAGATATGGCAGTGTGGTGGGAAATTACTGTTTGTTCCTTGTTCTCGTGTTGGACACATATACCGTCTTGAGGGCTGGCAAGGAAACCCTCCACCCTTGTATGTTGGGTCTTCTCCAACTCTAAAGGTGAGTGTGGGTTAAAGGGGAAAAGGATAGAAAACTACCATTTGTGTATCCCATGTTACAGTAGAAATTTAACAAATGTTGATTGTTATTAACTGTGGTAACCATGGTGCACAATAGATTTTTGAACTCACTCCTCCCATCTAACTGAAACTGGTGTCTTGTATTCAACATCTTAGCAATTCCCCGACCCCTGCGCTTACCCTCCAATAACCACTATTTCATTTTCTACTTCTGAGTTTAACTTTTTTAGCCACCACATTGGAGTGAGAGCACATAATATTTATCTTTCTGTGCCTGGTTTATTACACTTCACATAATTCATAAAGTACATCCAGGTCTCACCATAGTGTTGGAAATGACAGAATTTCTTTATCTATCCAGGTCCTTTGCCCATTTTTTTTTTCTTTCCTTTGCCCATTTTTAAATCAAGTCATTTCTCCCCTTACTATGGAGTTGAGTTCCTTATATTCTTTGGACATTAATGCCATAGCAGATACATTCTCCCATTCTATAGTGTATTTCTTCACCTTGTTGTTCATTTCCTAAGTGAGCTTTTTGGTTTGTTCTAATCTCATTTGTGCATTTTTGCTTTTATAGTCTGTGTATGGAACTTCCCTGTACCTTGTCACCACGCCTTCTTACTGCAGTAGCGGAGGTGGCTGGTTACTGCACAGATTGTGTGGGCCACACAGCTAGCTGAAGATAGTTGCTACCAACCTTTTACAGAGAAAATTTGCTGATGCTCATGATCTTCATAGATCAAGAAGCTAAACTGAATAAATGCTGTTTTAATCACATACATTCATCCAAAAGTTTTATAGTTTCAGGACTTACATTTAAGACTTTAATCTGTTTTGGGTTAATTTTTATATATGGGTGTGAGGAAAAGGTCTAACTTTAATTCTTCGGCATGTGAGTAGCCAATTTTCTCAGCACCATTTATTGAAGAGACCATCCTTTCTCCATTGTATATTCTTGCCATCTTTGTAGGAAGACAGGTATAAATGCCTGAATTATTTCTGTGCTCTCTATTCTGTCCAGTTGGTCTATGTGTCTGTTTTTATTGCCAGTACTAGACTGTTTTGATTACTATAACTTTGTAGTAGATTTTTGAAATCAAGCAATATAATGCTTCTAACTCTGTTCTTTTTTGTTTATTGTTGCATTGTTGATTTAGGGTCTTTTGCAAGATTGATTAGGATTGATTTTTCTATTTCTGTGAAAAATTTTATTGATATTTCGATAGGAATTGCATTGAATGTATAGATCACTTAGTGTAGCTTGGGCATTTTAACAATGTTAGTTTTGAACATGGGGTGTCTTTCTATTTATTTTTGTCTTTTCTAATGTCTTTCATCTATGTTTCATATATGTGTAGATATTTTACTTTCTTGGTTAACTTTATTTCTAATTTTTTGTTTTTTTCTGTTTTGTTTTTATTTTGGTCTGGGAACATGTTCACTTGTTGATAGTTATTTATAGTCTAGAAAAAATATTAATTTTATACACTATGTATTCCTATTCTTGATTTAAAACAAAATTATTGCTACTATGGCCCACAGACCAAATATAGCACTTGTTAGTAAATAAAGTATTTCAGTACATTCATACTCATTTGTTTGCATATTGTCTATGATGCTTCCTTACTACAAAGGTTGACTAGTTGTTGCTTAGATTGAATGGTCCGCAAAGCCAAAGATACTATTCTGTGACCTTTTTTAGCGAAAATTTTTTGATGATCTTTATAAATCAAGAGGCTAAATTGAATAAGTGCTGTTTTTATCACATATATTCATACATTCTGTAAAACCTTAGAAGTTAGCTTTTTACCTGTTACCACAATGCCAGTTTATTGCTGTGTAGCTTCTTTTCCTTAAAGTGAACAAACTAGGAAAAGTACCCAGTTAATTTGAGGTTATAATAAAATGGTTCTATCACAGTTGTAAAAAAAATTGACAGTTACCTGAAAAACTGTGTTCTATCCAACAGCCATTGTCTCTCTTGATGGTTTCTGAAATGAAATTTTTCCCTACACATACCAGTAGTATGATTAGAAGAAAAAGAGGTTTTTCTGGGAAAAGAAACCCTGTGTTAGCTAGCCTCTCAGAAATCTTTTCCAGATTTTAATCTCTTCCTCTCTTAGCAGGATAAAATTTATTATCTTAGAATACATCAGTGACAGTGGCCTTTTTAGAGACTAAGTGCCCACACTGCTTGTGAAGTCATTTGAGGTGCTGTTCCTTTCTGAGCATGTGCATGGTCCCTGTGTGTGCTGCTCTCTGATGCGGTGGTGCTGGCGCGACTTGGCTTGTGTGCCAACAGAGAAGGCTCGTGTGCCTGCTGCAGCACACAGGCCACAGGTTCGCCACCACCGGAATATATGATCTTCCAGCTCAAGGAGAGCAGATTCTGTGTATGTCACTTTTTAGTTGTACGCTCATGTTTATCCTTGTTGAATGATGTAGGAGAATCATTACTCACGTGCATTTGTTTTTTAAATACTAGGTCTTGTAGAAATGGGTTTTTTGTATCATGGTCATATTTTATTTGTCTAAGATAGGCTGTTTATGTCACTAATGTTATTTTTGTTTTTCAAAATGATATTAACTTTCTTCTTTGCAGAATTATGTTAGAGTTGTGGAGGTTTGGTGGGATGAATATAAAGACTATTTCTACGCTAGCCGTCCCGAATCGAAGGCATTACTCTATGGTGATATATCTGAGCTGAAAAAATTCCGAGAGGATCATAACTGTAAAAGTTTCAAGTGGTTCATGGAAGAAATAGCTTATGATATCACCTTACACTACCCTCTGCCCCCAAAAAATGTTGACTGGGGAGAAGTAAGTATCGGCTGATATTCAGATTTCAGTATATTTGTGTTTGGGAGGAGGCAGAGATAGATGGAAGGAAATATGTAAGTGAAACAAATCTCTGAGGAGACTTTTAAAGTAAAACCTGTCTAGTAACAGCTGCCACCTTCCATTACACCGCTGCCTCTGCTCTGAACACCCAGCCACTTTGCTGTCTCGCCCAGCCCCCTTGGAATCTTTTCTTTCTCTCACACTTCATACTTTTTAAGCAAAAAAAGAAAGCAATGGTACAAAGTATCAAAATAAGATTGTAAGACAGTAACAATTATTAATAGATTGCATATTGCTATCTTAAAAGTAGTTGCTCCTATTACAAGATAGAGGCATGAAAAATCAATCAAACAATATAGGCACAAAACCCTCTTTCTTTCCTGGTCTAAGCCAGCATCATCGCTTGCTGAGACTAATTTTTTGGCCTTCTAGCAACCTGTTCTAAACACGACAGGCAGTCAGAGTGATCTTTGTGAAATGCAAGTCAAGCCACCCCAGGTTAGGAAATGTGCAGTGACACCCTTTCACTCTGGTGAAGGTGAAGTACTTTCTCTCGGCCTCACCTGCCCCTGTTCCCTGCACCGCCACCCCCTGCCCTGCCCACTGTCCCTGCTGCTTTCTCTGGGAGTGCTCCCGCCTTGGCCTTGCCTCTGCCCGCAATGCTTCCTTTCAGACATCTGCACACAAGTCTGATTCTGCCTCCTCCTCCGAGGTTGTCCACCCGTCACCTTCACAGTGAGATCTACCCAGCGAGGCCCACCTCAACTCTAGCGCCTTCTCTGCTTAACTTACTCCCCTCTTTTCCTCATGGCACTTAGCACTTTCGAACATAGTAGATGATTTATTTGTCTGTTGTATATTTTGTATATACTCTGTCTTTCCTAGAAATGTGAGTTCACTGGTGTCTCAGCGCCAAATCATGCCTGACACACAGTAGGTACTCAGTCAGTATTTGATGGATGAGTAAATGATGCATGCATGAATGAATGGGTGAATGGAATTTTCCCTCCTCCTGGACTCTTGTCATTTATGAATACATCTTCCTTTAATGCCTCCCCACTCTGGCACCTTCATTTCTCAGCATTCCACATTGACCCCTATCTGTTTACCAGCTTCTGGGAGGTCCGCAGAGCTCCTGGGCGGCAGGAGAGGCTGTCTCCTCAGCATTTTCCCCCTGACCACCACTGACGCCTCCTCCTACAGACTGTGAAGGTCTTCTGGACCACCACTTGTTCATTCTTGTGTTTTCAAAAGCTCTTACATCATAGTATGCAACTGATATTTACTGAATGAATAAATGAATGAATGAAAGATTTTATCCAAGTACTATGGTGATTTATAATTGAGGATAAATAGATGCTATTTCCAAAAATAGTTATTTTGATATAAAATTAACATTTCAAATATAAAGACCTATATTGTCTTTTCACCTACATTATCCGTCATGAAAGAAAAATCTCACTGCCTTGCCCATGTGTTAAGATGTTTGCCCCCAGACTTCTGAATGCAGCTTCCAAAGGACTTCATAGTTACCAGAGAAAAGTACTTAGATCCTGGCTAGTAACTGTTACCACTGTGGTTAAGAACTTTGCTTCTTGTTACCGTGAATTATCGTGAATCTGAAATTATACTTATGGTATCTTTTTAATTTTTTTTCTGTAGTATTTTTGATACAATTTAGGCCAAAGCTTTCAGAGCAAACTCATTTGATTGTTGACATCAAGACCATGATTTTAGAGATGAGTGGTATGATTAAAAATATGAAACGATAATATTAATCTAACATATGTACTCCCAGGTTTTCCTGTGTAATATTTGATATGAAACTTACACTGTGATGCTAATTGCTTTTTGGTTGTGTGTTACTATTTTTAGATCAGAGGTTTTGAAACTGCCTACTGCATTGACAGCATGGGGAGAACGAATGGAGGCATTGTGGAACTGGGACCTTGCCACAGGATGGGAGGAAATCAAGTGAGTCATTTTCTTTTGTGTTCAGATGGTTAATATTGAGATCCTGACCACAGGGTTCAGATTGGTGTGTGTGTGTATAAAATTTATATATTTCATTAATAACTTAATATAATATTTTATATATGATATATTTAAATTTTATGTGTTATATTTTAAATGATGTATCAAAAATTATATATGTTACATCTATAAATGTACATTAATTTTTTCCCTTAGTATTAGGGATTGAATCCAGGGCCTATGCACTAAGTTACGTGCTAATTCCCTTTTGAAAATTTTTTTATTGTTGCTAAGTTGCCTAGGCTGGGCTTGAACTTAAGTCTCTTGCCTCAGCCTCTCAAATTTCTGGGATTTTAGGCAGATGCTACCATGCTTGACACTCATGTTATTTTGAAAAAATAAACAGTCTATAAAGAACTGACTACAACAGCATTTACTTAATTAAGCAGGATAGTAGCCATATTGATTTTCATATAAGCAATTAGGATCTACAATTGATGTCTTATGTAAGAAATTATGGTATTTTCTTATGGGAGTATATATTTGCAACCATTGTGTAAGCCTGACCTTCTAACAGTATTTTTGCAAGTATACTTCAGTAATGTGTATTTTACTAATATATTTTCTTATTTATGTGGGTTTTCTTCTTGTGTTTAATTTAGATTGTGAAATATATCAGGATTGTTTTCAGTTTTTCATTTTCTCACATTATTGGTACATAATAAATATGTGTTGATGACCCATTCTGTATTTTAGAGGTTAAAGAACATAATCATTTAAATGTTAATAGGAGTCTTTGCTAATTGGAGAATATTTCCAGTTCCTCCCTAAGACTAAGTTCCAAACACAGAAAGTTTATAGAACGTTGTTAGTTATTCATTTCAATTATAGGAGTTAAGTTCCTTTTTTGTATTTGTAAAATGTGTATAAACAGAGAAGTTGACTCATTATTTTTTTTAAACAGCTTTTCCGAATCAATGAAGCAAATCAGCTCATGCAGTATGACCAGTGTTTGACAAAAGGGCCTGATGGATCAAAAGTTATGATTACACACTGTAATTTAAATGAATTTAAAGAATGGCAGTACTTCAAGGTACTCTTGTGTTTCAACTCCTGAAATAATATATGCTGTTTCATTTTCAGTAACACTTAGCATGTGAAGTTTAGGTGAACAAATCTTAAACCTGCATGCAAATTTGACTTGCATTTTCTTGTTTAGTAATTTGTACAGGTTTTGTTGAGCACTGGGTGAATTTGAAGTGTCACTTCTGTTCTCTGGTACAATATTGTCATGAAATAAGGTCACTGTGAGGTCCATAAGGACCCACTCTTAATTTCAGTAACTCAGGGAAATCAGTGTTCTTTGAAGCAATCATTATTTTTCTATTATCAAAGTCTGATTTTTAAAATCTCAGTGTATATTTATGCCATTAAAAATATGTGGTTAATATTCATGTTGTCCAGCAGGTGGAGATAGAGACAAACAAATACAACTTGGAAACTTGGGCCTTTACTGCTTCCTTATCATTGTTTGCTTAATACAACAGGATAAATATAGCCAGTTGCTTTAACGGTCAGATTTATTCATTTGGCATTGCTGGGTGGGCTTTCTATTTCATTTATGTGTATTTAAAGCTCTTTGGCTTGAAAACTCAAGCATATTAATGGATTTATGTATAATTCTCAAAGTATAGATTTTGGCCTAAATAAATCAATTTATTATGAAGTAAAATATTGAGAAAACTTTTGTAAGCTGAAAAAAACTAGTGACCTTCAAGTTTACTTATCTACTATTTTTATGATATTTCATCTGTCGGGTAAAACTTGTTTGCTATGTAGTAATGATATTGTGACCTAGCTTAATATTTCCAGTTATAGCTTTCCTGAATAATCACCAAGAAATGAAAAATATGTATCAATTACTGATTTCTTCTTCTTTCTTTTTTTTTTTTTGTTGATGGAAAATCAAATTCATGACCTCATGCTTATCAGGCAGACGCTTATGCTGCTGAGCTAAATCCCCAGGCCCCTTGTTTTTTTGGTGTTTTTTTTTTTTTTTTTTTTTAAACCAAAAAAATAAGGTCTCATAGGCTTTCGGCTCACTCTGTAGCCCAGGCTGGCCTCAAACTTGCAGCAATTCTGCCTCAGTTTCCTAAGTGCTGGGGTGACAGGTATGCTCCACCATGCCCAGCTATGGTCTTCAAAATTATTAAAACTTTCCCAAACAGGTTTTGTTCATACAAGTTATTACTAATAATATTTCTGAAATTAGCAATTAAATCTGAGAAATTTATAAAATTCTTAAGTCATGAAAAAGTAACAGTTGGGCCAAGGATTTAGCTCCGTGCTTCTAATACTTGCCTGGTAAGTGTGAGGTCCTGAGTTCACTGCCCAGTACCAAAAAGAGAGAGACAGAGACAGAGAGACAGACAGAGAGAGACAGAAAGAGAAAGAGAGACAGACAAAAAGTAACAATAATAACTTTATCACATGTTAATGTACCTAACATTTTAATGAAAAAATAACTATTTTCCCACAAAAATAGAAAAACAGCATTGTTCTATAATTTTTATAAAGCCTTGCAATGTCTAGTTTATAAAAGGCAGCTGGATTTGTACTGCTCCTGCATTGACTCAATATACTTCATTGTTTGGGATTTATACTAATCTTACATTGAATCTGATATACTTTGTTGTTTTAGTTGGCATTAATGAAAAATCTCACCCCAACAAACTTACAGTTAGAAGAGAAAGTAATTGAATAGTTTTTTCAGAAAATTGTGATTATTCTTTGAAATTACACCACAGTTCAATAAGTGATACTTTCTTAAAAGTTATTTGCAGTGTAGATTCTGAAACCAGCTGGGTATGGTGGCACACTCCTGTAATCCCAGCATTTGGGAGGCTGAGGCAGGAGAATCATTTGCAAGTTCGAGATCAGCCTGGACTACAAAGTGAGCTCAAGACCAGCCTGAACTGTATAGTGGGACCCTGACTCAAAAAGACCAAAAAAAAAAAAAAAAAAAAAAAAAAATCTGAAACTATGTAGTCTCTGTTACAGTTTGAAGTTTTAAGTCATGTGAGTTTTTATATCCTACATTGCTCATTCAGAAAATATTGTTCCCTAAATTACATAAATCTTCCAAATGTTGGCATATTTCATTGTACAATAAGAAAATATCACAAATATAACTACTCATCTCACCAGAAGTCTTTAAATGTGAAACTATTATAGTGATAGAAATATATTTTCCAAATTCCAATTTTTGTTTGAAAATTTAGATTTTGTAGATGGCAAAAAATAAACTGTCAGGTTTTTTTGTTTTGTTTCTTAGTGCCAGGCTCATGTCATTTTCAAGAAAATGTCTATTATTCAAACTCAAGTTTAAATAACCATATTTGCTCATTGTTTTTGAAGTGAAAATGACATTTCATGACAAAAGCAGCTAGCTCGTCCCTCAAGGCAATTGTCCAAGTGGTTTTTCTCAAGACGCCATTGTACTGCGTTGTGTAGATATATTTGATGATACATCCTTATCATTTCATCTCAGAAAGTATTTTTTTAAGTGCATACTCAGGTCAGATTTTACTAATATTAATAAGCTTTAGCTGCTTCACCAAGGACATATATAATTGATACTGGATATTGAACTGAGGACCTTTGGACTGAGCTACATCCCCGGCTCTTTTTTAATTTTTAGAGACAGGGTCTCTCTAAGTTGTTACATTTGCCATCCTCCTGCCCACGCCTCTCAGAGTGCAGAGTATATGCATGCACTGCCACAGCTGGCCGGTATTTGCTTTTTAACTCTGAGTTAGGCAGCAGTGAAGGATATGACTATTAGCATAGTTTGCTGTCACTGCAGGATTCATCGTAAGGCCTCATCAGTTTTCGTCAACATTGCTTTCGTCCCATCAGCGTACCAGTGAAAAAGCTAAATGAATTCTTTGTAACCTGAAGATAGTATTAGCCTGATAGAACCAAGCTTGGATAGTCCGAGGACCATGCTTTGAGGAATTCTGAGCTATTTTGAAGAAGTATTATGAGAACTAAGGTATCTTCAGTGGAGAAGAAAAGGAAGGAATATAAAGCTGAGACATTGTAAATATCAGCCCTCAATAACTGGTATAATACGAATGAGTAAGGGAAAGTGCATTGTTTCCTGAGGACAGAAAAGCTGACATTGTCATTAGCCTCCATAGGAACCAGAGAAGTACGTTTGGAGGTGAAGAAAATGAAGTTGGGTTTATAGACATTCAGTTTGATGTGACAGTGATATATTAGAACTTAATAGTAGGGGCTGGGGATTTAGCTCAGCGGCATAAGTGCCTGCCTTGCAAGCAAGCAGTCATGAGTTCAATCTCTGGTACCGATAAAAAAGAAAAAGACAAAAAAAAAAAAAAGAACTTAATAGTAAGAACGGGGAAGACTGATAATCTGAGGTATTAGCCAACATGAGCTTGAGCTTGTTCATTTTGCTTAAATTATCTTTTGCAAGCCAGGCAATGACTTCTAATGTCAGTGATATCAAAAGAGTCCAAATTATAACTTATTCTCCCTTTCTGTGTTTTCTAGAACCTACACCGATTTACCCACATACCTTCAGGGAAGTGTTTAGATCGCTCAGAGGTCCTGCATCAGGTGTTCATCTCCGATTGCGACTCCAACAAAATGACTCAAAAATGGGAAATGAATAACATCCACAGTGTTTAGGAGGAAACGAGTAATCTACCTACTGACAAGTAAATTTATACAGGACTGAAAACCGCCTGAAACCTGCTGCAACAATTATTATTAACTCTGTACAGCTCCCAGCCTGGAACCTCCTGATCAGTTTGAAGGATATTGACAGACTGTGATTTTACAATAACATTATCATATGCAGTTACTGTTTACAAAACTGCTTTTACCTTAAACTTTGTAGATGTTTACATCTTTTTTGTTTTTGTTTCAAGATGATGTTGGTAATTTGTGCCTTTAACTCTGCTTTGTTAAAAGAGTTAAAAGCACGTTGTCTTCTTTGGGATTACACTCAGGGGTCTGAAAGGCAGTTTGATTTTTTTTTTTTTTTTAAACACACTTGAAAAAGGTTTGGAGTAACCAGACTTTCTTATATAACTTGGTGATTTTCAACCTGTTGTGTCTTTATTTAATTTTACATCTTTTTGAAGCACTGCCACAGGTTATTAGCCAAGGTGGCCTTCCTTCACAGTCATGCTGCTTTTTTGAAAGGTGAATTTCAACAACACATTTAGTGCCTCTTTCATTCTTGGTATATTTTTCAAGAGCTTTTGATGAAATTTATAGGCTGATAATGCTGAAATGAACTGTCACCTGTATGGGAAGTGCTTATACCACTCAGAAATAGATTTGTGTGCTGTCATTTGGTATGGAGTTGAATGTTGTATAGCTTGAACAAGAAGTGACGACATGGGACATCCCGAGGCTATTCCATGGGGTTTGAAGATTGTGTGGCATCAACTTCCTCACCTACTGGTGTTCTCAGTGCCATCTGCCACGCCAGCTCATAGGATAGCAAGAGCCTTCCACTTAGAAGGGGAAAAAAAAACTTTGCACGTACATTTGGGACTTACTTTTTCCCTAGTACCTATCAGTATAAAAAAAAAAAAAACACTATAAATAATTCTTTGTATTGAAATTTCAAAGGGAGGCTAACAAACAACACACCACTATAAACACATCAAAGATTTGTCCTAAGGTAAGAATTTTCAAGCCCTTGTTAAATTAAGCCTTATAAAACTCCTGTGCATTACAGCCTGCGCTGTGCAACCTATGAAACGAAGAATGAGTTGCTGTTTCATTTATTATCTTCATCCAAATGCATTTCCATGCACATTTCTTAAAATTAAAATGACTGTTTAATCATACAGCTCTTTAGCTAATGTGAATTATTTTGTTAGATTGGATATTAGTTCTCTAGTTTTTCTTAATTTCTTTTTGGGAAACATTCTTATTAGTATGAAAACATTTGTTTGGATTCAAGCATTTATTAATTAGTACAGTTCCTATTATAGGAGAACCAAATATTGCAAATGATCAATTTGATTTTAATTTCTAAATGGTCTTTTATTTGCCCAAATATTAAAATCCCTAAGTTGAGTGCTTAAAAAATATTATATGGTAGGGAATGGTAAGTAAGCATTTTTATCTTATAATCATGGTGTCATTACAGTGAAAGGAATTCACAAACTACCGCCAGAGGAAAGTATTTTTAATTAGAGCTAAAAAAGAAAAGGAAAAAAACTTAATTTGTTTAAAAGGAAAGCCTTCTTCCAAACTTAATTCTTAAATTTCGAGAGTAAAAGCTAAACATCCTCAACAGAGTTTTATTTGTAATTTTGAATTGTCAATTTGTATTTTGCTACTAATATGTGATCAGCCATTTTAATGTTCACTCATCTTTAGGGATATTTAAAAAGAAATAACATTTATATGCTTATATAATTACAAAATAAATCAGCTATAAAAAAGAACAGTTGGTACTTTAATTACTTGTGTGTTTTGCAAATAGGTAACCATTTTCCATGTTGAATGGATTATAACTTTGTTATCTATGCATAAGCCTAGAAAGGTGGCACATGAACTGTGCATGTAACTTTATGGGTAGATTAAATGGGTTTTATGTGTGTGCACAATTTGTTAAAAGATAATATTCTGTGAACATGATTCTATATATTGAAATCAGAAACTTTACCAAACATGAAAAACATCAGAAGCTGCTGCCATAATGACTATTTTCTACTGTAGGCTGCTTTGGAAATATCCCCCATAACCTCGCTTTGTAAGTTGATAATATCACTATGCATTTCTACACATTTTATAAATTTGATTTATGCAGATTTTGATACACTGTATGTTTCTGTAGAAATTGTATAAATATTCAAAATTTTATTAGGGTAAATTTGAGAAGCTTATGTATATCTTAATTCTGGGTTGCTTGTTTTTTTAGGTGAGAAAAAAATAAAATACTGTATTTTAATCCATGGGTTTTTTTAATAATTGTAAACATTTGCAAATGTAACTGCGCATTTTAAAGATTTATTTTTTTATTTATAAGATCCACTATGAATAACTAAAATATTACAAAACCCAGATATTAGTTGATGTGCTTGAGTGATGGTTAGAGTTCTGCTGGGCTTAGGAATTTACCTTGTCTGTAGGGAAGAGACATAAAGGTTTCTTCTTACAGTATTTCTGTTGCCTACGTATAACGGTTCTTTAAAGCCACCTATCTATTTATAAAATATAATCTCAGCAAACATAGATCTTTCTGGCCAGTATATTCTATATGATTGCCTAGTAAAAGTGAAAAATATCTTTAAATCAAAATTCTTTGCAACCCAACAGATCGAGTAGAGCCAAGCAAAGAAAAGGGAAGCCTACCAAATGAAATTAGCAGCAGTCCATAGGACCTGGCTTTACAAAACACACCATCTCAAAGAAAGATATGGCTGCTCACAGATTCAAGTAAGTGGCTGTGTTGACTTGGAATCCTTTCAGCTGAGATGTCCATTGTGATGTCTTTCCATTCTTAGCTGTTGTAGTGGCAAGCTACCAAACCTGAAAAGTGACCAATGACCAGGATGGAATGAGGACTCATTTATTACCTAAGATGGTCACTCCAAGATCTTAGAATATGTCATTTTTAGACAAAATGCAATTAAAAAAAATCCACATGTAATTTTATGGAAAATATAACAGAGATGTACCAGGACCAGACAATCGTTAAGGGTAATACCTTAACTAGTAGGACAATAGATAAGGTATGTGAAACTCCATGTGAAAGCACTTTCGAAAAAAATTGAACACTATGAAAGTTCATTAGAAACAATCTATATTAAGAAAATGGACAATAGCTCAGCAATATAAAGGTCTGCCTGGAAAGTGCGTGGTCCTGAGTTCAATCCCCAGTACAAAACAAGAAAAAAAATGGACAGAAGTTTGAATGGTTTCTGGGGACTATCTTTTCTAGAGTTGGGAGATGAAAGGAAGGACTATTTCTAAATTAGATTTGAAAATTGCTTTGCAGTCCTCATTTGTAAGATTTTTGAAATGCCCATAATTAAGGTGGATATATTTCAGTTTTCTAAGTAAATTGAACCTGGAGGGCCTATATCTGCACAGAGGTTCAGCATGTCTTAATTTTTATAATGCAATGATGTTATGGTTTGCTTATCCAAGCAGAATAATGTGGCAGATTCCAATTTCTTACTATCTGCATTCAAATTCCTGTTTCCCTGCAAGGTCCTATTGTAACCTTGTTTGAGTTATTTAACCTCTATACCAGTTTGCTTAATAATTAAATAACAATGCCTATTTTATAATTATTATTAGGAGTAAATGAGTTAACATATATAAAGTGTTTACATAAAGTTCCTGGCACACAGTCAAATATAAATGTTAACTATCATTATCTGGTTTCAAAGCCTTAAAATCTGTAATTAATCAGAAGAGTGAAGTCCACATTTCAAGCCTCTATAAACACTGTTTGCATGTGTGTCATGTATCAGTTATCATTATTTCTAGGTTACAAGTGAAAGAATGAAACTCAGAAGTTAAAGAAATTAGAGGTGAAATGATTACTGAAAGAGAAACTTATCTCTGCCTCAAGACATTCACAAAATATGTAGAATATAGTTTTCATTGTTTTAATTCAGCTCTGTGTAGAACTCCATGCCAGTGTAGAATGTAAGTTTCAGTGATCTAATTCAACTCTTGGATGGGATTATATGCCATCATAAAGGATGTCGAAGATAGTGTACCCTCTAAAATATCTTTATTTCACTTGGACTTGAATGTGGGTATATAAGCTCCAAAGCAAATCTAAAATTGTGACATAAAATGTCTGGCTATTACAGTAACTGGTATTGGGGTTATGCTGCTGTCCTAAAAAACAGGACAGAATAGATGGGGCAACTGTTTTCAGGAATTAGGTAACAGGCACAGCAGACTGTACTACAAGAAGGGATACACACAAGGTAAACTTTTAGGTTCATCTTGTCTGTTTACTTAGGAAAACTTTCTTAACCATGTTGTAACAATTTATGGCAAAATATTGATACTGCTGAGCTGAATAAGCACTGTTGAGATGCTGGAATTTCAGAGGCAGGCTTGTGGGGGTGAGCTCACTTCACTATCATGAGACCTACACAGGATTTTTATAGCACTGTCATTTGCAATAAAAAAAAAAAAAAAAACCAAGAACAATCTAAATGTCCACTAATAAGAATGTATGAACTGTGGTACAATCACACAATGAAATGTTATACAGTGATGAACACAAATCAGTAGTTATAAGCAAGTCTTAATAATACAGTTAAGTGAAAAAGGCAACTCCTAAATAACTTTATAAATATAAAACTACATACTATGTTGTATATGTAAACAATAGAAGTAACTTTTGCACATTTTACAAATTTATTGGGGCTGAAGATATAACTCCTGTACTTGATAGCCCAAGATCCCATGGAGATACTTGTATTTGGTGCTAGGAAAAACTCCCAAGAACATGTGTTTCCCATGTATTTTTTTCTCTCGATTGTCAAGAATCTCAGAACTGAATCTTTTACAGCACTGGTACACATACACACTTTAAGCTATTTACTGAACATTAACTATTTCTTGCTATGAAAATGTCTTAAATGTATTACCTGTTTTTAAAAAGCAAACTTTACTGATAAAGAAACTGAGAAGTTAACATGACTTGTCTGATACTAAGCCAGTAAGAGCTCACCACCTCTTTCATAACGTTTACCATATATTTGTATTTTAATGTTTTCCTTTGTATAAGCTAATCTTTTGGAAAATGTGGAAAATCAAAGCATGCATAAACATGGATAAATTGTAGTGGTTTACTTTACTATCTCTTACCTGACCTAGGACGCTTTTCAGAGTGACTATCCTATCTTAGTGAAGGCCAAATGACTTGAAAAGCCTCTGCCATTTCTAAAAGCTGATGCTAAATGTGCTTATTTTCCTGCCCTCTTAATGTGAAAGGTTAACTGTGTTCCTGAGACAAGTCTGCTATGGACCTGGTAATACCAAGGATGAGGTCCAGTAACCTAAGGCCAATGAGTACAGTGAAGGTCCACTGAAACCTCAGAAATGGTATTTGTATCTTCACTACAGCATACAAAATTTAAGACTATAGAAATGCTCAACTGGTAAATTTTACCTGGATACATATTTTGACCCCCAAATTTAAATCCATTGCCATTATTTAAAATTCAGCTTTCACATTTTTTAAAATCTAGATTTTTGGCTCCACTTGAAAATTTGAAGATTGAGAATCAAACCCACAAATACTGTACATCTCTATCCAACAGGACTGTGTCTCCCTTTTGTCCCATTTATATGCGTACAAGTACTGTACTGTATACAGAGAACTGTTTCTGATACCAGGTTACAACAGTAAGCAAAAATAAAAATTTCACTGCACTGGAACTTTCTTGCATGCTTATTTTATCACACTCAACATTTTTATTTAGCCTCTGTTGGTCTTTGTATTTCCTGTCAGCAAACACCCTTCCATCCTCTAAAAAAGTTATCATCTTCACTTAGGAATTTCATGAAGAACTAATCAAAAAATGGCTCATTTCTAAAAGTACTAAGTTTCATTTTAGAAGGTCTAGATATTAGTGGCATAACAGCTATTCCCCCCAAAATAAAATCACTAGTGGTTTATAGAACATTTTTAGGGACATATATAGTAGATTTATGGTAATGCTATATTAATAGTACTATGATATATTTACGACTTAGTTTATAAAGACCAGAAAACACACATGGCTCCACGTAAAACACTAACGTTATAATAGAAGTCATTTTTTAACATAGCAGAATAACAAAGACTAAGAAGTTTATAAACAATTACTGTTATCTTGATAAGGAAATAATCACTGCAAGTTCACTCATGTGAAGTACATGTAATACAAGCAGGTGAGTAAAGAATAAGAACAGTTTCTACCATATAGTAAATAAAGGCTTTTGTTAGTAAATTTAAAATATACATGCCCTTTGGCACAGCTAATTCTTGTTACTTTTTTATTTTTGGTACCAGGGATCGAACTCACCTCGCACTTGCCAGGCAGGCACTTGTGCCACTGAGCTAAATCACCAGCCCTTGCACAGCTAATTCTTATAGGACCTTTCTCCAGGTGTGAAACTCCTTACAAGGATAGTCACAGAAACACTGTTGTTAAGGCAAAAAAACCAAAAAACTAAGGAGCTAAATTGATCTATTAATAAATACTATGCAGATAGCTATTTAAAATGTAGCTTCTACTATACTAACAATCCCCAAAATGAGATTAAGGAGTTAATTTAGGATTATGCTTACATCTTTCTATGAAGGACAAGTCATTATATTAACTGGGGTTTTTTCATTAGAGTAAGTCTGGAAGAACAGGGAGTTTATGTACCATAAGATATGAAATATTTCTAGAAAGAAAATTTTCCACAAACATATCTCCAAGTAGTGTTTGGTCTGGGATAGGACCTATTACCCTTTTGTTACTGTTTTCCAATGTATGTGTGCATTGATATCACCTAGTCCTAATTGCTGGCAACTTGCTAATTTAGTTTTTTCAAAGGGACTTGGAAACTTTATTTAAAATATGAACAAGGCAGGCCTCACCTCAGATCCTAAAGAGCAATGCCTGGTTCAGAGAAAGGGTGTTCTTAGCTTAGAAACTTAATATATTACAGTATGAAACTCAGAAGACTTAACTTCTAAAGATTGACAAGGACCCAAGAGGACTGTCTCATGGGTGTTAATTTATAAATCCTTATATATTTGTAAATAATTTATAAACTAAAAATTGCTTATTTCAATTTAAACAGCTTCTTTTAGTATCTCTTCTTTGCATTAGGTACTACTTCAAAGTACATCGTAACGTTTTCATTTAATCATTAGGACATTGTGAAGTAGATACTGACCTCAGAAATTGAAATAAGCAATTTATACAGCAAGCATTTGGTAGCCATGGAACTGGGATTTCCCTACACCAGATTAAATATCTAAAACTCATTACCCCAAATATTTTAGCATTTTCAGTCCTAACAACAAACAATGAAAACTAGTTTTTATGATCACAGTGAAAATCCTAACTTTCATGTATAACCACTTGGATTTAATTAGGGCAATCACTGAAATGTTAAGATCTTGAGTATATTTTATTCTTGGCACCTCACTAATTAACAAAAATGAAATAACCTGCAGGAAACATTTATTCCAAATACAGCATAGGTCAACCAAGGCTCTAGCTGAGGTAGTAAGATTCTTAACTTCCATCTTAAAATTTGATAGCCCAACAAGATGGTCATGTCAAACTATAAAATGTCAAGATTTCTTCTGTAAGTATTTAAGTCTACAGATGATCAACGTTCACTAAGAACCTCTAACAATTCAAAACAGTTACCTTAATTTGTTAAGTTAACTGCTTCCTCAAGGCTCCTAAAATGCCTTTCTCTACAAATACCAGTCCTAGTGAAATGTAGTTAAGTTAGACAGGGCACATTACAATCACCTCAAATATTTTCTTATAGTAGTTACCCATATAATTCAAAATCTATTTTGAACTACTTCAACTTACAAAGTTTAACATCACTACTAATGATATATACATTTTCCAATATACATGTACTTTTATGATTTACCACCTTTGAGGTAAAAGAAAAAAATTGAGCAAATAATAAACAGAAATGCTTAAAATGCTTAAGACAAAGCTTAAAATCATTCTGAAAAAATAAATTTTTAAAGTTCTAATCTTAGAAAAGAATATGGGTGTGTTTGGTTTTCTTTTTTTCTCAAAACACTACAAAAACTATGCCATACAAACTATTAAGCAGAAATTTTAAAAAATCTGTCAAGGTCTTTTCTCTTGTGTTTTAAGGGAAAGCTGGTTCTGTATATTAAAACAAAAGACAATAGATATAATATACATAATTTTATTACAAATTTAAAAAAAAAAAAAACAACAAAATGCAACATCCTAAAAAAACCCAAAACATACTATTGGTACTAGGTTCCTGCAAATTTGCTGTGCTACCATACACATGAAAGAAACCATTAAATATTTAGGAACATTCAACATCAAAAGCTTTAAAATCTAACTGTAGTAGCCCCTCAAAAAGCTACAACCTGAATTTTTTAAAAAAAGTATTTTTTTCTACAAAGAATTTTATCAGCTATACAAAATCTGTACAGTTTTTATACTGAAGCTAATGTTGAGCTGCACTTGAATTCACATTCTTAGCAAAACAATTGCCTGAGCACATATATACTCCACATGCCATTACAGGACAGCCACTTATTCTTCATCTTCCTCTTCTTCCTCCTCCTCTTCCTCCTCTTCCTCCTCCTCCTCCTCATCTTCTGGTTCATTCTTCTTCTTTGAGCCTGTTGGCCTACCAGGACCCTTCTTTCCTGCTTCACTTTTGCCCTTGGCACGGTATGCAGCAATATCCTGCAATATTGTCAAAATAATAAATTCAGCATCCGGTGTCGTTACTCAACGGTGAAAGCCACTTAGTTGTAAACAACCTGCAATTATTGACCACTCACCCCGACAGCTGTCTAAAAAGGTATTCAGGAAAGCTAGTTTGGGAATTACGAGATTTGCATTGGATAGTATCAGTACTTTCACTACCAATGGTTATTTACCTACTTTACACACATTCTCCTCTCATTTCACATTTTAAATACATCTAGTAAAATATATTTACCCCCATTTTTTAACAGATGTAAGTTTTTATTGTAATATTCTTTAGAAAATATAAATCTGATTTTCACCTAGTTTTTTAAAAAGTATACACTATACCTTTTCGTATTTCTCCTTTAGCTTAGCTGCTTTTTGTTCATATGGTTGTTTATCTTTGGCTGACTGCTCAGACCACATTTCACCCAATTTTTTCGCAGTGTCTCCAATGGACAGGCCTGGGTGTTCGCTTTTGATCTTTGGGCGATGTTCAGAGCAAAACAGGAAGAAGGCAGATCTGAAAGGAAGCAACAGAGTTAATAAACCAAAAACAAAAAAATCCAAGAGACCGGTTTGGTTAAACTTTAAAATAAACTTACGGCGGTCTTTTAGGAGCGTTAGGATCTTTCTTCTTTCCTCTCTTATCACCTCCTTTGGGAGGAACGTAGTTTTTCATCTCCCTGTCATAGCGAGCTTTATCACTCTTTGCCATATCTTCAAACTTGGACTTTTCCTTGGCAGACATAGTCTATGGGCATTAAACGGGGAGTGAAAACACTGCACAGCTGCAAGCTGCGCCATCCGCACAGCGCAGCCTGACCGCGAGGAGCCCACTAAGTTAGTTAGCAGCACTGCGGGACCGGGGACACCCCGCCGCCCGCCCGCCCGCCCGCGACCCCGCACCTTCCATCTCTCCGAGCACTTCTTGGAGAACTCGGCGAAGTTGACCGAGGAGTCGGGGTGCTTCTTCTTGTGCTCCTCGCGGCAGGTCTGCACGAAGAAGGCGTACGAGGACATCTTGCCCCGCGGCTTGTTGGGGTCTCCCTTGCCCATGGCGGCGCGGCCTGCGGAGAGAGGCGCTCAGCGCGAGGGCGGGCGCGGCCCCGCTCCCCGCCGCCGCCCCAACTTTCTCCGAGGCCCCGAGCCGCCGCCACCGCCGCGACCCGCGAAACCTTTCCTGGAGCCAATTTTCTCCGAGGCCCGACCCTCGCCGCCAGCCAGGAAGGAACCGGGGCCCGGCCCAGCTCCTCGCCTCACAGCCCGTCCCCAAAGCCCGCCCGTCAGGTCGCACCCCTGAAGTCCTAACACCGAGTCCCGACAGACGGCTGCGCGTTGTGAGGGGAGAAGAGCGGCCTGCCAAACCCGAGGGGTCTGAGGAGATTCTTGCCTGGTGCGAGCTTTTCCTCAAGAATCCTGTACAGCGGCCGACTCTGACCGAGACGCTTCCTCCCTAGGGCTCCGGCGTGAACTGGTTTACCGCTAACGCAATCCTCAGCCTCTTGTTTTGCAGAGCTCTCTCCGCGCCACTGCAACTTGACAAACCCAGCCACAGGCCACACCCCTCCCCCTCTGATTGGCTCCTATGATTATTCAAACCCGGAGAGTCCCCGCCCCCTCTCCAAATCGGCCTTCAATTGGTGGGTGTCTCGTTAGGCCCGCCCTTCCAGTTCCAGCCTAGCATGTTCGGTGGGTCGCTCAGGTCGTTAACTCCCAGACCCGTTAGAACCGGTCAGGAGAGGAATGTACTGCTCGATCCCGATTGGCGGCGGGAAGAGGGTTTGAAAAATGGCGGGCCTGATGCTGATTGGCTTGAGTCGTAAATGAGGGCGTGGTTATCCCAAGAAGGAAAGCCCCGCCAGATTTAAAAATACTAAGCGGGACGCCTGTGGGTTTCCTCCAAGGGTTGGTGGCGGCGATCCGGTTTGCAGGCGCTAAGGTAACCGAAGAAGCCTATCCTGTCCCTCTTCCAACCACCATTTAGATTCTATTTCTTACGTTTCTGCGGTGCTGTCTCCTGGGAGCTGTAGTCCCACAGTTGTACGGTCCCGTGGGGTCTTTCCTACGCCTTTTAAAGAATAAGTGGGCAGAGATTGAGCAGTTTCCCTGCAGACTGGTTGCCCTATTTCTCCTGTGGCCGTGGAGGCCGGGACAGAACCCGAGTTAGAAGACAAGGTCCTGAAGCTTCCCGCCTAGGAAATCCCCCTTTCCTCTCATTGTCACCAATGTCAAACTGGGAAAGGAACTGAAGGCGGCTCCCGGCCTCGCCCGGGGTTCACTGACCCCGCCTTCCCGCGGCTACGCCCTGTGGCTCCTTAGACACGCCCTCCCGCGGTCGGGACTCCGGCTGTGAGCTGCTGCAAGCCAGTCGCGGATTTTGTAGTGCAGCACCGACCCTTGCGTCGGAGATGAGACCTCCGGAGGCTGCATCCGAGTATTCCCTATCTCAATGTCCCTTTGAGGTGGCAGAGGTTAAAAGAGAATCCTGCGAAAGTAATGGATCCGCCCCGCCCCACCCTGCCCCACCCCCTAAGTGCCTGTATTCATCTAAATGCCCAGAGCCTGTTTTCCCAGATTCCTCCAAGCCCAGGTTCAGAACCTCGGTGTTAGGGCCTAAGGAACGCGCACCAGCGATTGGCCCCAGCTACTTTCCCAAGGTAGGACTTCGGATGACGTCTGTGTGTGCTCTTTCTGTGTTGTATTTAGTTTGGAAGAGTTTCATCCCACCTCCGTATTCGCTATATGTTGCCCTGACGGTTTCAAACGGATTTTAAATATTTATTCAGTCAGTGTGGTCTCCTTGTGAAACTGTATTCCTGTGTGGGTTAAATATGACTGTCAAACGCAGTAGTACATCGCGATGACTAGATGTAGTCATAAAAATTAAATTTTAAAATGGAAACGGGGACTGGGGATTTAGCTCAGCGGCATAAGTGCCTGCCTTGTAAGCAGGCGGTCGTGAGTTCGATCCCTGGTACCGATAAAAAGGAAAAAGACAAAAAAAAAAAAAAAAAATGGAAACGGATAGTGGTTGCCCAGCATTGTAAATTTACTTAATGCCAATAAGTTGTACGCTTAAAATCGCTTAAAATGGCAAATATTTAGTATGTTTTACAATAAAAAGTGGCATTTTTTTCAAAAAGAAAACTTGTATTTTTTTGTTTTAAGGGCTCTAAAACTTAATCATAATCTTTTTTATAACATTATGTGTTTGCCTGAAGCTTCTGTTGCTACACAATCAAAGTTGCAGGTCTCCTATAAAAGCAGCAAAACCCAAATTAACAAAATTAAATCCTACTACCTTCATATAACAATAGAAGAGAGATCACAGATATATAACAATTGGAACATTCTGTAGAAAACAATTATAAAACAAATTGTACTTCAAAATTGATCTTATAACCAAGAATTATTTGTGGAATTGTTAATGTATTGAGTTTAGAAATATTAAGTGCCATGGTTTTTGCTTTCAGAGAATAGGTAGCATTTGAGTCGAGTTAGAAAGGAAATACTAAGCCAAAGGGAGAAAAAAGAACCAGAAAGGCCTTAGAGAGAACCTGGCATACTTGGCGATCACCTACAAGTTTAATAGTATAAGAGCTTAATTAAACATGAATAAGAACAATGCTGGACTGATAGTTTACAAAGAAATTTAGCCTTTATCTTACAGAAATAGGCAAAGGCATCACTGAGAAGTGTGAGCGATGGTGAAGTAATCAGATTTCCTTCCATGTTAAGTAGCAATGTTTAGGGTGTGATGTAAACAAGGTCACATTTATGAATCAGAGATTATTCATTGTGTTTTTTCTTGATTCCAGAGTTGTAGTAAAAGGGGAATAGTAATAGATGTGAGAGTCCCTTATTTACATACATACTCTCATTACAAATTTTTGATGCTTACTTAGGGAATTTTGCTTTCATATAACTTAACAAACTCGCAGCTACTTTTTGGGTCTGTGTAATACAAACGGCGGATATATTCACATGCCAATGCCAAATCAAGGCTACTTACTGCAATCTACATCATAGCACTTGTAATGATATTAGACCTCTTTTTGTTGTCACTGGTACTAATAATGGACTACATTTGCTGTTATTTTCAAAAGGTTATTTGTTGTACTAGTATTAGCCCCAGAATATTTACACTGAGCTACATCCCAACCCCATCTGTCTGTCTACCTATTTATCTATTGATGTATCTATTTACCTACCTATTAATTTTGAGATGGTCTCAGTTGTTAGGTTGCCTAAACTAAGTTTGAATTTGCCGTCCTCCTGCCTCAGCCTCCCAGAATAGTAGGATTAGAGGCATGTGGTATAATCACTTCCTAACTAATACACTCAGGAGAGACAAAGGACCATAGAACAAGGTGAGAGTAGTTATTAGACTCATTTAAGTGTATGGGTTGAATTATGACATTAACCCTCTTGCCCAAAATTTATTTTGAAGTCCTAAAACCCACACCTTGCTGGGTAAGCTGTACCACTGGGCTACAGCCCATGCCTTTTTAATTTTTTTTTAAATTTGAGTCAGAGTCCTACCCAGTTCTTTAGGCTAGCCGCCAATTTATGATCTTCATGCCTAGCCTCCTGAGTAGCTGGGACTACAGGTGTGTACCACTATCACCAGCTGCAGTGTATCTTTTTAAAAGATGGTAAAGAGGGCTTAGAGTGTAACTCAGTGGCACAAGCACTCCTGAGTTTGATACCTAGAACCAAAAAAATTAAATTTAATTTTAAAAAAGACAGTAAAGAGGAAAACGTTCATAATTTTAAAAAGTGTAAATAAAAGTCAGCAAGGGCTTGTGATTTAGAACAATTCACCTAGCATTTCTAGGCCTGTGACAAACTATAAATTGAAGTTAAGGGATAATCCAATCTCTAAAGTGCCATCTGTCTGTTTAAGTTGTATGGTTCTTTTTTTCTCCACTTTTTCTTGTTTTTGTCTTTTTGTGATAGGGTTTCACTACTCATTTCAGGCTGGCTTTAAACTCACTGTGTAGCCCAGGCTGGCCTCGAACTTGTGGTGATCCTCCATCCTCAGCCTCCCAAGTGCTAGGATTACAGGTGTGTACCACCAAGCCCAGCCTAAATTGTATGATTCTGCAGTTCTGGAAATAACGTGATCATAATGTATGGGAGTATTTTAAGTTTATTTGTTGTACAATCAGGTGATTATGATTAAATTTAAGTCAGTAAATAATGCATGGTAGAGAATCTTTTGCCTATGAGCATACCAATTATCTGGGAGATAGTGGCATATACCTGTAATCGCAGGTACTTCGGAGGTTGAGGGAGGAGGATCACAAGTTTGAGGCCAGCCAGGGCAATTTAACAAGGTCCTATCAGAAAATAAAAAAATAAAAGGGCTGGGGCTGGGGATTTAGCTCAGCGGCATAAGCACCTGCCTTGCAAGCAGGCAGTCGTGAGTTCAATCCCTGATACCGATATAAATAAATAAATAAATAAATAAAATAAAAAAAAAAATAAAAGGGCTGGAGATAGAGCTCATTGAGAGAATGCCCCTGAATTCAATCCCCAGCATGGCACACACATATGTAAATTAGTTTAGAACAGTATTTAAAGAATTGAAAGCTGTCCAAACATAAGAAGCTATGTAAACCAAACTTAATTATACAATATTACTGTCATTTTACTTGCTTCATTAAAATGATCTTCACAGCTTTCCCCCCAAAATGGTATCATTATATCACTTTCTTTACCCAGTTTTGCTGAGTTCTACAACTGGTGAATTGTAAACCATATAGCAACAAACTAAGAAAGAAGCTGTTTCCAAAGCAGTCCTCTACCTACATATATCTACCTATAAATAGCTGTTCTATTGATAAACTTAGTTACAGCCATGTCAGTCTTGCAGAATTGTTTAGAAATGAAATTACTATGCTAATTATTGAATTCCTATCATGTTTTAATCAGTTTTCCTAAAAATGTGGACTTTTCATAATATGTGACCAAACCACAAGGAAAGTACAGAAAAAGACTAGCATACATTTTTGTAAGCTATTCTTCAGGCAAGCAAGAACATAATATAGTTTCATTATTGAAATTTTTATTAATTTGTGATTAGTCAAAATTAAGTAATTTTATGGTAGCATGTCAAATACTTATTTTCTTGATTTGCATAGTTAATGTAAAAAACTGAAAATCATTACTCTGCACACAGTTTTTCAAAGATAATATCTTATATTGCCACTGCATATTTTCAAGTTATTTTAAAGATACTGAGACATGGTAGGACACATTGGGAGGCTGAGGAAGGAGGATCTGTGTGTGCCTGGAACAGTGGATTCAAAACCAGCCTAAACTTCAGAGCAAAACCCTGGCTTAAAATAAATAAAGCAGTGGAAGAAGGAAAATAAATCATACTAAACTGTTATCAAATATGTGTATTTATTTGTGAGTAAACTGCTAATTGAGACTTAATTCATTCTGGATCTCCACTGTAGTGGTATAGTTCAACAGTATATTTGTTAGGAACTAGAAATGTAAGTTAAGAAAAAAATAAAATGGGGATATAGTTCAGTGGTAGAACACTTGCCCGCAGCCTCAGTGCCCTGGGGTGGATCTTCAGTGCTGATAAAAAGAAAAAGTGAAAACTTGTTCTGCTAACATTTTCCATTTCAAAAATACCACGTATTTTGTTTTTCATTTTAAACACTATGGACTATTTTGATGAATCAAAGTGAACTAAATGTCCCTTAAAAAGTTATTTTTGAAAGCTTGCTACAATGAGGAGGGGAGAAAACACAGATTACACAAATCATCTGGAGATCTATTGAAAAAATTAGAAAATAGAAATATTGAAAAAATTAGAAAATTCTAGAAAGGAAAAACACTTTCTAAGTGTGTTGATGACTTTTTTTTTTTTTTTTTTAACATTTTGTGGCTTTTAGGCATGGAACTGAGGATCAATATGACTTTGCTTAAATAGAAAAATTTCAATTTACGAGAATCCAGCAAGCATTTGGCAGTAGTGTGGGAGCACAGCTACAAACTACAGAACGGGTCTATGTACATTCTAACCTATTTTCTAACCACGTTGGCTGAATTATGAAGTAGAGTTGTGCCAGACGCTTCTAAAAGAAAATGTGGAAGACAGCATGAAATCTCTCGGTGATTCACAGTTCTCAGTGGGCAGCGTTCAGCCTGACTCAGGAGGCTGCAACAGACACTTCAATTTATGCTCCTGGAGGGCTCTGCCGTGTTTTGGGGCTCTGTAGGCCAGGGAGGTGACTCACCTTAGAGACCACCAAACCCACAAGCAAAAGCATGGGTGAGAATGTCCGAGAAACAAGAAAGAACCCCAGGAGACCTGGATGTTAACTAAATCTTCGCAAGCCACCCTGGACAAAGCTCAATCCTTTCATAGACTGTCATAAGCAACTCCTATTTTTCCACCCAGGAGAGGGGTTGATTGTACCTAACATAGCAAAAGGTAAACCCTCTGTAGTAGAAGATCTCTGTTTGAGCACATCGTACTACAAAATGTTAAAAACTAAAAGCAAAACTTAAAAAGAACCAGAAGGAGGGGCTGGGGATTTAGCACAGAGGCATAAGCACCTCCCTTGCAAGCACATGGTTGTGAGTTCGATTCCCAGTACCAAAAAACAAAAAACACAGAAGAAAAGACAAAAAATTCAAGAAGACAAAAAAGAAGTCTGAAAGTTGACTCTCTAATAGGTCTATGTGTGTTAGCTTTTCCTCACAATGAACAAATACCTGGGAAGGTCAGTCTCAAGGAGAAAATAAAACTTAAATGGTTTATTTTGCTTTACAGTTTTAGAGGTTTTAGTCTGGTCAACTGGCTTCAGGCAGAAACATGGCAAAATTTTAAAGGTTGTAGCTCAGTGTGGAAGTCCTAATTTCAGTCCAGGTATAGAGAGAGAGGGAGGAAGAAAGGAAAGATGAAAGGAAAAAAAGGACACTAACTTTTGAGTTCTGTACTGAAAGGGAAAAAGGTTTCAAGAATTAAAGGAAAGACAATAAAGATGTTTCCAAGAATTGCCAACAGTTCTGCTTAAGGAAAATGATCTTAAATCCTCAGGCGGACAAAACGTACAGATAAGGATAAATTTGTAAACTTTTAGAGTATTATCTGTTGCAAACAGCAATAATAATTATGTCTTGTGGGGTTTTATAACACATGAAGTAGAATATGTAATAACTCAAAAAGGATAAAAGATTAGTGGAGCTGTATAGTCTTTCACTGTTCATAAAGTAGTAAATGCAATAATTTTTATTAAACTGTAATAAGCCAAACATGCTATCCTCTGTTCAGGGTGCTAGTTACAGATTATATACATTATATACATACAATGTTACAGATATGAGTACATGCAAAAATTTATCCTGCACATGGGACATCATAATTTAAAATAGTTCAGCTGTTTCTCAAAATTTAAACATTCCTAGCCATTTACCCAAAAGAAACATGTCATTGTCCACAAAACATCTTGTACAAAGTGTTTATAGGAGCTTTATTTATAATAGCCAAAAACTGAAAAAAAGTCCAAATGTCCAAAAGCTGCAGAATGAATAAAAAAATAGTATATACATACACAGGAATCATGTTCATCAATAAAAAGACATAGTATAAAAGTGGTAACTTGGATAAACCACAAAAAATTATGCTAAATAAAAGAAGCAACACACAAAAACCCACATACTATGTGATTCCTTTTACATGACATTTCTAGGGAAGGCAAATGTAGTATACAAGTAAAAAGCAGAAGAGCAAGCTGTGTGTACTAGAGCATGCTTGTAGACTTAGCGCTCAGGAGGCTGAAGCAGGAGGATCACCACGTTACCCAGCCTGGAATAAATCTGGGATACATAGTGAAAACCTGTATCAAATAAAAAACAAAAGAAAGAGTGGCATCGGCCTTGGGAATATACATGGTAGTGAACACTAACTACAGAGAAGCAAAAATGTTCTAAAACTGAGTTATGGTGATGGTTATACAATTTGAAGCCATAAATTTGAAGTGGGTAAAATTTATGATTTGTACATTACATCTCAATAAAGCTATTTTTAAAAAAAGTCAGTTACTTGTCTTTCTATTTATATAGGACTGCATTCAAATTAGGCCAGGATGATTTAGACTTTAACAATGAAAGCTGCAAAATACAGTAGAAAAATACGAGGCTATTTGAAAGGAAGTGAATATAACTACTTTAGGAAAATTAGAGTGTCAGCAGCTCTTGCACTAGAATTAAGTAGGCTCACATTCCACTGAGTTTGTTTTCACAAAATGGGAAAATAATTCTTTTGTAAATACTTGTAAAAACACTTTCTATCCACTTTGTTGTGGGTATTTCCAGTTAAAATTGGGTGTATTGATACTTTATCTGTTATCAAACCAGTGATTATTTTAAGTTTGGTAATTATTTAAATTGCAAATTCTAGTGTAATTATTCATCAAGGTGATATTTAAAACTTTGTCTTCTATTTTGTTTTTATAGTTCTACTGTATTTAGAAATGTATTCACAAACAAAATGAAATTTTCAGATGTACTTTTCATATTATCCTAGAATTCTAGGCTCAAATGAATTTTTACATAACTGAAGATTGAACTAATTAAAGAAAAAAAGTATTCTGTATCTAGTACAGCTGAAATTTTAAAAGACAATAAAAGATCGAAGAAGTGATCTTTGTTGAAAATACCAACAGTCATCCTGGGAATTTTTGAAAGCAGTTTTGTAGACAGTGATCCAAACCTATAAACACAGCAGAAATCTGTCTATTCAGTAGATTCTTCTCATTCTCATGCTTGTTTGGGGGATTTTTAGTCCCAAAGATTTTAAGTCTAAGACTATTGAATATGAGATCAAAAATAAGTCTATTTTCAAAACTCAGAAGCTAGTGAAATATTCCATATAAATTTAAAGTAACCTTAATATAGACAAGATTTAACCAAAAGGATCTGTAGTTCTCAAGACTTTCTCTCATATGAGGTCCCCTAACATGCTTAAAATTCTGGATTCATCTATGGTTCTGATACAACATGCTGTCTTCCACTACCAAGGCGTACCCTTCTCACAACTATAGCATCCCAAAATAAATAACTTCATGAAAACACTAACCCTACAGATCTCCAAAATATCCATGTTATGTCTAAAGCAAGGAAGATACTGCAAAGCTCACATGCTAATTTATGACAGAAGACAGAATCAACGGAGTGGAGATGGGCAGAGAAATGCTAGTGTTAAACTGTAGTGACAAGGGTGGATCTGGAGGCAAATTGCAAAGAAGTAATAAATGTGGAGAAAGACTAGATTTTATAAGCTATGCCTAAGGTAATGTATATTTTAAAACAGTGTAATACACATTCATTGAACAAAAGTAATGTTTGTTTTGTACTGTTCTAAGTGCTCTAAATATATTAACTCACTTAATTCTCATAATACAAATAAGATAGTATTTGTGTTATAGAAATAACAGGCAAAGAGCAAGTATTTGCCAATGGCCAGTGTTAATTAAAAAAAAAAAAAGAAACAAAACGTCAGGGATTTAGCTCAGCAGCATAAGCACCTGCCGGGCAAGTGCAAGATTGCGAGTTCGAACCCAAAAAATAAAACAAATGTAATTTAAAAAAAAAAAAAAAATGGTACAGAATTTCAAAACAAGATTGTAGAAGAGTAATGACCTTGGTTATTGAGGGAATCATTACAAAAGTACTAGATGGCTGAAGGAACAAAAGCAGAAAAGTGCCATTATCCAGTTATATTTATACTTACATTGCTATTGATATTGAGCAGAAGAGTGACAGGAGAATAAAGGGAGCAGCGTTATCCCCAAACCCATGAATATGCTGATACTGAGGCTTTTGGAAGTGTTACATTATTAAGACTGTCTCTTCTCCGTGTCTCAACAAGCCAGCAGCCCTCACTCTGCTCCTGCCACTCCTGGGCCAGCCATGGGTAAAAGAGCACAGCATTGCTGAGGCTGCAGGAGCCAGAAGGGCAGAATGCCTTTGGTCCTCCACTTGCCTTTTAATCGCTCATTAGCAGAAGTGAACTGAAAATCAATTGGCAAATGAGTCTGGGAAATGCTGCTTAGGATGCCAGTACTCTATACAGTGGAGTGATTTAAAAGAAAGAATTGAACCAAAAGGTGAAAGACAATTAGTACAAACAATTGGCAAGCAGCAGAATTTAAATCTCAAGCAGCCTGGCTCCTGAGTCCATGCTCTTAACTACTATTGATGCTGTGACACTATGATATGCAGTAACAACAAAATTTCATAGATTTTAAAAAATTTATAGCTGATGATCAATGCAGATTGGTAGCAAAGAAATTCTAAGGATTTCTTTCATTAAATGCAGTATTCTATAAATGAAGTTCCTACTTTGTGCTGAATGCTATTCCATTGGTTATAGAATGATGCACAAAGCAATACATAAAAAGTCGAGTGCTCCTTCCTATTTCAGGTTATACAAACTTCCTTGCCAAGGACTCCAACTGGCCTGACTTGAATCATGTGCCTCCCCATGGAGCTAAGCACTTTAGCTAAGGGGGAGAGAGGAGGAGAAACAACTCTTGGAAATGTCTGCTGGGACCCTGAGACTAATGGTGCAGATAGTTTATCTAAGAGATACAGAAACCAGTGGAAGGCATGGGATCAAGCCAGCTACCACTGCTAATGAGTGAGTCACAATCCCAGGGGAAAACTGGATGTGGTATAAAAGTTGTGTGAACTGAGGGCCAAGACACCTGTGGTGTCTGCTTCCCAGGCTGCTAGAGTGAGAGGATTAGGAGAAGGCCAAGTGAACCCCCTCCGCCAAAGCAGTCAACGAGTACAGAGGGAAGACTAGAGAGGCATGGGAAGGCACCAGCACTGACTGCTTCTCTCAGTTCCTTCAACAGCTAAGTATTTTCTCTGTCTAATCAGTCAAGTTGTTATGAAGTCAAAAAGAATACCTGTGAAGTAGTTCTACATAGTAAAAAGTATAGTACCAATTTTTATTTAGAAATCTTTGAAGGCTGGAAGTGTATTATGTGTTATTTTTATATCTCTCAGGGCCTGCCAGTACAATATAGGTGTCAAAGGCTCAAATATTTACTAAACGAATTTTTCAAAGTAATATCAGAACATTCTATTTTCTGGGATAAGCGGTAGAATTCTTTTAAAAGAGTAGTTAAGAACAATAACTTATTGCTGCTAACTTCTGATTTTTTTCATCACTTTGAACAATTTAAAGTGGCATGGCCTTGTTTTATTCCTTTGTCAAACATTCTTAGAAACTGGATCATTGTAAACTACTTGATGGTTGCATATATAATCCCAGAACTCTCAGAGGCTGAGGCAGGAGGATCACACAAACTCAACCTGGGCAATTTAGCAGTCTAGCAAGACCCTATCTCAAAATAAAAAAGGCTGGGCATTCAGCTCAGTGGGAAGCCTTGTGTTCATCCCTTTTTCCCCCAAGGAAAAAACTCAGATTTTTGCCAAGAACTGTTAATTATCTATCCAATAACCATTCTCCTTTCCTTCTTTAAAGAATTACCTTGATAATAAAGATATTGATAAATTCTTTATTTTTTGTACCAAGAATCAAACTCAGGACCTTGCACTTGCCAGACAGGTGCTTATGCCACTGAGTAACCCCGAGCCCAAGGTATTGATAAATTAAAATGAAAACACTGCTGTCAGTAGCATGAGGGGAAGGTAATACAATTATAAATTCCAAACTTGACATTGAGCCACTATACCAATAAAAGTAGCCATGTTCTTCCAGCCTAATGGCAGGAAAGAATTTCATGAATAATACGGTAAGGTAGGTATTCTGTTAAAGGCAGACAATGATTGATAGCTTTCTAAACACTATGTTTTCTTTTGCATACACTCCCAAGGCCCATAATTTTATTTTATTTTTTTAAATTTTATTTAAAGAAAAATAAACAAAACAGAAAATAGGTAGAAATAATACATATGTTCAGAGAAAAAAATAAACAGTAAGAAATCACTAGTTGATGTTTACAGATTGTCGTTTTACAAATAGTTGTTCAAAATACAAAACTGGAACATGTAAAGTGGGAATTCAAACAGCGAGACTGCAAACAGTTCGGTTCAACTGTTCAACAAAAAGTAACATGGTTGTCAATCCTATACACTTAAACATACATGCAGTTATCCATATCTTCATTTATGTTTAGATTAAACAAACTAAAGCATACTAAAGAATAATAGTATTGCTGGATTTCACATCATGACACTCCATGATCAGCACTGGGTACTGTAGTGTCTTTTTTTTTTTTTAATTTAATTTAAAGAAAGACTAAAAACAGAAAATGGGTAGAAATAATACATAATTTCAAAGAAAACAATAAACAGAAATCACTAGTTGATGATTTGTCTTACAAATAGTTATTCAAGATACTAAAGTGGAGCATATAAAGTGGGGATTCAAACAATGAGATTGCAATCAGTTCTGTTCAACTGTCCAACAAAAACTTAGAAATATGGTTATCAATCCTATACACTTAAACATACATGCAGTTATCCATATCTTCAATTATGTTGAGATTGAATAAACCCAAGTAGGCTAATACCACTCTGAACAAAGAATAATACTATTGCTAGGTTTCACATTATGACCCTCCAGGATCAGCACTGGGTATTTTAGTGTCTTTTTTTAAAGTATCTGTTCATTTCATCATGTGTCATAAGATCAGTTCTCATAAACTGTTTATAGATTCTACATATGCATGAATCTTAACATGTATTTCTATCCTTTCTATATTAGAGGGAGAAACAAAACAAGTCAAGGCAAACCAAAACATTCCTATAAACACATAAGACCATTGTACAAAGAATTCTACCATGGTTCCTGTGTTGTCTCTTGTTATCTCCAATAGAATTGGCTATATCATCAGACATAGTATAATTGAATATATCAGTACATAACAGTATTAAAAAACACAACTTTGTATATAGTATAGAACTTCAGAAACCGGAAGGTATCAAACCAGAATGTGTAGAGTCTTGTCATCTTCAGTGTAGTTGCCTATACTCTCAGACTTGATATTATCAATCATATCAG